GGTTGGCCGGCTCAACCGGCGGTTTCCCGGTTGGGCGGCTCAACCGGCGGTTTCCCGGTTGGCCGGCTCAACCGGCTGTCTCCCGGTTGCCCGGTTGAACCAGCGGTTGACACGGTTGGCCGGCTCAACCGGCGGTTGACACGGTTCAACCGGCCAACCGGATCAACCGCCGGTTCACCCGGTTGCCCGGTTGAACCGCCGGTTGAGCCGGCCAACCGGGAAACCGCCGGTTCAACCGGCCAACCGGGAAACCGCCGGCTGAACCGGAGGTTTCCCGGTTGCCCGGTTCAACCGGCCAACCGGCCAACCGACCAACCGGGCAACCGGGACAACCGGCAACCGGACACATCCGGTTGAACCGACTCGTCTCGGTTAGTCGGCCGGCCGGATACTCCACACCATCAAGTTTGTTACTACTAGTAAGGCACTTTGTTTCTGGTCGTTTCCAGATCAAACACGCCATTGCCGGCGTTGGCCGCTCGCCCTTCGCCGCTGGCCAGCGCCGCCTCTACGATAGCCCCAAGCCACTGGGATTGCGAGCAGTGTAGTGGCAGGTGCTGGGAGTGCACATGGCCAACGCCACGGACGTGATTTTCAGATTCATCCTGCAGGTATCCCTGTCCGTGGAACGCTTCTCCAGATGGTTGGAAGAGGTAGCTGTGCCAGCTCTCAGACAGAGCTCCGAGAACGGCCGCGTGGTCGAAATATGTCGTAATTGAGGAACTTTCTGTATTTTCGTGGTTTGTGAGGGGTTTTGTTTTTTGGTAACCCTCATTTGGGAATGTTTGGATGATGTTTTAGAGGTTGATTTGATAGGCCACAACTCCCGCAGGCAATCCACAATTCTCGTGAATTGGCAAGCAACATTCCTGAGGTTGGAGCTATCAGGTGGGGCCAAGTGCTGTGCTTCGTGGCTCAGACTCAGCTGGCCAAGTGGTGGATGTGCAGTGGTCATTCAAACATGGGCCTCAGGACCAGGGAGACTCCTCGAGAGTCCTCCAACCCGGACACGAAACATGTGACTGACTGGCTACACCCCTTTTCAACCACCCCTGGCCTGATTGGCTTAGATATGCCACATACATGGAGAGGGCCCAGGCAACAGAAAATAGCACCAAACATGCGACTGACTGGGGGAGTCTATCAGACTATCTCAGACAATCTCAGACTCCAACAGACTCTTGAGGTTTTGCTTCAACCCATGAGACCTGCGACCCCACGACCCCACGACCCATGGTGCTTCAAAGATTCGACGACTTTCTTGATGACAGCTGTAGCACCCCAAACCCGCAGCAGCTGTAGCACGCATGCACTCAGTGTTTTCCACACATTTGCCAACACCTGGGTGTTTGTCTACCCTGCTCAGGAAAGCCTGGACTGGATTCTTTGCAGCATGAATGTATCTTCCAAAGCTACCGGCGATCCACCGGTTGTAGCTGCTTTTTGCCTTGGAGCCTACGATTCAAATTTCCTTTTGCGCTTCGGCATGGCTCGACGCGACGACGATCGACCGGCGGCGCTCGATGGGCGGCACTTCTTTGAACTGGAGTCTTTGCGGATACCTTTGCAGCTAACACCTCTTGCAAGCAAGCATCGTGGCGAGTTTACGTATTGTACCATGCGAGGTGCCGGCAGAAGCACCTGCCGTGGTTGCTACTTTGATCAGTTGGATGATCCTGATGCAGCTACCTCTGAGAGCTGTGCCAAATGTGCATTTGTCGCTGGCTTGGAAGATGTTTACTCACATTTACAAGACCATGACTTTCTCGCCGAGATGGAGCGTTGGCTGCTGGGCTGGCGATATCCGCGAGGGATGCGTCGGAGGTGGCTGTCCTTGACCTTGGAGCGGAGCGAGTCCGCTTTGTCGTGCGTGGCGGAGCGAGTGGTGTCCTTCGTTTTCCCGGAGGGACATCCCTTAGACACGATCCAAGCGGAAGATCTGAGGTATCCGAGGTAAACAATTGTAGGCGATGCCCTTGTACAGTGTACAGACCGGTTGGCCTAGCTTTGGTTTCGGGCAGGTCAACTTTCGCACCTGAGAATTCCTGAGGAAAGTGAGGTTTTGCATGTTGTTTTGTGTGTTTTTGAGGAGGTGGAAGGCCACCGTTATACTTGGCATCCTGAGCTTTGGCCTTGACACTGAGGTGCATTTGTTTATTCAGCTGTTCTCACTTGATCAAGTTCCTCCAATGATGTTGGTGTAGGTGAGGAGGGTCACCTGAAGGGCCCCAGTTGACTAACACATGAGTCAATGATATTCTATATGTTGTTTCTTGCAATCAGATCTAATGTCAACACCTGGGGGTCGTTTGTCATTCTATGTTATCTTTTTCTCTCGCGATACAATTGGAGACGGGAATTGAAGGAGGATCAGTGAGGCGTCAAGACGTCTCTCAAGAAGGATTGGTCAACCCTGGTTCTTCTAAGACTCGATCAGTGTGAAGGCAGATCCCCACGGTGTCCTCCATTCACCAGACTAGCCGCTCACCATGTTTTTTTCTGCTAATTCTCACCCTCATATGATGTTTCTGAAGTAACCCAACCTTGGGTAGCAAGAGGATATCTCAAAGCTGCTGGTATGAACGGCAGGTGAATCCACCATAAGTGGTCAACAGTCCAGTCCAGTCGGGACTCTCACAGCTCTGTCGGCCCCTAGGTCTGGCCGTACGGGTGACTTGGACCACTCTCCCGGACCAAATCACCTCATCTCTCCGGACTGGACTCGGAAATCCTCTCAGGTGGGAGGGCCAGGATGTCACCCGCGAGCTCCCCTGGCAGCCCGTTTTCGTGCGCGGACAGCCCAGCCGGACAGCTCACCGGTTGGACCGGTGCGGAGAGGAAGGTCGTGGGGTCCACATGGTGGAGGGTTAGGGTCCAAATGGTCTTAAGAGAAGATCCCTATCCCAGACGCTCCATGGGACTGCCATATATGCCTACATTGATGCCTCAAACTACCCCAATGTAGGCATTATATACCATACATGGAGCGTTTGGGTATAAGAATCACCCTCTAATTGGGTTTATCACAAGTCGTTTGGAGATGTTTGCATCTGACTACTGCATACAGTACTTCATCATTGAAGGGCCCAAGTCAGACTGTTCGAGCTCAGGCTCTGAACAATCATTTTCAGTTTAGTTTGGGTCACTGGCACTCCAAGTTGGCATGATCAATGAATCCAACAGGTCACGAATGGTCCTGCAAGGTGATGGGCCCGAACTTGGGGTTGCATGGTGTACAGTCCTCCTTCCGCAGCATTGTTATTGTTATTTACTTTTGTGTGTGTGTCAATTTCATCTAAGGCACACCAATCAGCAGCTTGGGCATGCATGAGTGTATGCATGTAGGATTTCAGTCTAAGCCCTCCTTTCGGGTCCTCGCCCTCCACCCCAGTCCTTTCGTGTCCGGTACCTTCTTCGAGTCCAGGCCGGAACCTTACAACGACAAGGAGGATGCTGGAGTGCTCATGAGCTTTGTCCGGGACCAGCGTGGAGCTCAGAGCACCGAGCGTGTGGGGAGCACCGAGCGTGTGGGGAGCACGCGTTTACCGCGCACTGTGCTGCAGGACATTTGGCAGTGATTTCTTAATCCAGAAGTCCGAGCTCCACCGAACTGGTTTGGTTTAAGTATCTGGGTGGTGTAAGAGTTGAATTCATTCACAGGCACCGCCCCAGACGTGCTTGGCACCCGACATGTGCACGAGACGTCGTTCCCAAGCTAGCATCCGCCGGTCGCGTCGCCAGACATGACAACTTCCTGACAACAATCATTGGAAAGCGATTTGCAACCATCGAAACAACGGGGGTTGGGACTCTGAAATGAATCGGTTAGATTGAAGGACCTCACGAAAAAACAGTGTTTTCTTGTCGAGGCGCGTGCGTGAGTGTTCTTATACAACATGGTTTGTCTATCATCTCTAGGATTACGTTGCTTTCGTCGATCACTCATATTTTCCACTTATGGAATCTGAAAGTCTAATAAACAACAGTGAGTGTGTCCTTTCGCAGTTTTCGTACTGTGTTCGTACAGTGTCACCGTGTTCCGACTCTGTCAATGGACTGGCTGTTCTACAGTCAGCACTCTGACTGGTCATGTTTGAGCAGGCAGCTTTACAGTTAGTTGTAGACCCCTGAAGACCCCTGATGTTTACTTCAGGATTTCCTGTCTTGTTCATATTCCCCCAGTCTCTGGGGAGACCGGCAACCAAGGCCCACTGGCAACTCCTTTTGCATCGTGTTGGATGCTGCTACCATGGAGGAGCAGGTGTGAATCACTGCACTGTGGCACGTTCCATCACAGAACACAGTTACACATTGTTCTCTTCTTCAAGTTTAAAGATCCTTCACAGAACTCATGAATCCATTTGACGTTCAAGTACGTGCATTGGCAACGCGCTGGCAACACGTTTGTTTGTAAAGACACAGGCTCGCATCCACTTCCCCGAAGGGCATCACATTCCTTTGCCGGGCTCCCAGGGCTGGTTCCGGTGAAGAACTACTTCATTCCCTTGTTCCGGTGTGGAACGGAGAATTACAACCCGATGGACTGTTTGTTTAGATAAATACATATTGCAGCAAACAGAAAAAAAAAGGATCCATAGGACCTTGCACTGAAACAAGATTTCTTTCCACTATACTGGACATCATCCATATTCAACTTAGGTTGACAACAGATTCTTCTGTGTTTTTTGATGACTTCAGCCTTGAGGTGGCTGCACGCAATCTGAAGCCTAGGTGCCCTTTCTTGCACAAAGCCACACAGGCCTATGGCCTCCAGGAGGGTCAGGAAGGGTTCCTTTTGGTTTCCTTGCAGCCATTCTCAGGAACAACGCCTTGGTCTCTGTGTTTGCCGCTATCAACAGGCCGTAGATACCAAACTGCGATTATGCGATTCCACTGCGACGTTGAGTGGAGTTGTCCCACCAGTACAGCATCCAACAGCAATCATCATCAGATCCTGCCTGATCGAAAGGCGACAGGATTGAACTCATGAGGTCATGAGGTCGTTCCATGATCTGCCAGGAACTATGTAATATGTCAACAGTTATCACATATTATATGTGAATAACATGCAAGGAGCTCATATGCCAATGCTGCCACGTGTATTGATGAATTGTCATTAAAACCAAAAAAACAATGTATATTATGAATATATAATATATATATATATAACGTAATATATGATATGACGTATTAATCACTCCACTTGTCACTCTTCTCTTCCCAACGGCGTCCGACCTGGGCGTCCGTAGCTCTTTTAGTGGCGGCCTAGGCACGGGCATGGGACCTTCATCCGGGCCTAGGCGCGCAGGGATGGCGCCTCGTCACCGGCACTTCCACCTGTCGTGCTGTTGTTTTTCGTGCTTTTTTGTTGAGAGGGACAGACACATCTTTATATTTGTTTAGTTTGTATTTATGGATAGTAGTTTGTTGCTGTGTTTTATACCGCTTTTGTGTGGGTTGTATGGTTTTTTTGTTGGCACACAACAGCGCCTGGGACCAGTGCCAGGTTTGCCACGGCCACGATGAGTCTCAGGGTCACGCCAGCCGCCATTCGATGCATGTCGAGCAAGCAGATCTGCTTCCCGGGTTCGATGCTGTTTTTGCTTTCTAATGTTTCTAATTGCCATTTCTGGGTGGTGGTGTCTTTGGAGTTCCTCCTTTCTTGTAACGACTTGAACATGGAGTTTCTAGCAGGCTCGAAAAGAGACGGTTTTAAAGCTTGTTCTTTTTGTTGTTCATGCCTGCACGATGATAGTTGTAAGGTATGAGGGTGCTTGTTGCTTGTCTCGCACAAACACCCCAGAGGCACCTATCGCCCTATCAAGAGTTAGTGTGCCAAACTGCAACTCGACATATGCACGAATCAAGGCGGAAAAACGGCGCAGCAGAGGCTGGGAAAGTCGAAAGGTAGATCGTAGGAGAGTGTGGAACAGTCAACACATGTCATCACCAAGAAACTCAGATTTGTGCAACATCGCAGTCGACACTGACCCCCAACTTTCAACGAATTGTGTGGCTTTGCTGCGATCAGCCGTAACATGTGAAGAAAGGCGTGACTTCTCGCCACAAGTATTTCCACGGATCGATTTTGTAGCAATTTGCCGGAGCACCAAATGGTCGGGCTTCTTAAGAAGCCGCCTCGAAGACGAAGTTTTGTGGTTTCTTACCTGTAGTCAGTCCTAGAAGACTTTGACCCTGACCATCATCATCATCATCATCATCATCATCATCATCATCATCATCCATTATCCACTGCTGGTGATAACCTGCAAGAAGGTTTGTATCGGCTCATGTTGGCGAACTGTTGGTGAACTTGCCAGAGCTGCCCTTTGGCGAAAAATATGATCACTCAGTCATCAAGGTGCTGACCCTGTAGCTTCTGGAGCTTTATTTGTGTCCTTGTCCGGGGTATGCACCACATTGCACCACCGTGGATTCTTCAGTTTTGTTTTGAGCCTTTTCTCACCTGCGCTAGCTGCGCTCAAAAAAGACACTCGTTAAGCTGCTGTTCTGAACAGCGCACCTGTTCGAGGCGGCGGTGTGGCAGCGAGTTTGGTTTTTTAAAAACCGCCGTCATGCGACCTATTTTGGCCCGAAGGAGTTTCAGGGACCCACGCTTCCCGCGAGAGACATGCTCAAGAGCAAGGCTGTGTATGATATATTATGATATGAGCTCGCTTAAGGCTGCACCAAGAGCAAATGCCACTGCTGTCAAACATTGGTCGGTGTAAATGAATGATGTGCACCAGGTTCAACTCAAAGCTCTTTTGGTGCACTAGAGTCTCAGAAGACAAGAGGGGATTCAGATGCTCCCAAAGGCATGGGATCGTCACGAGCTAAGCCTACAAACAGCAGGTTGATACCTTCATACCCAACTTCATCAATTCACAACATCTTTGGATCCAGAGACATCAATGAGCAATCTCTCGTTCTTTTTACATCCGAACGTTCAGCGACCGCCAAGGGTTTCTCAATGAGACGGATGGCGCCGGATGAAACCGGACAGATCATGAAGTAGGCCCAAACGGACCCAACCCGCTTAAACATATGTTG